TGATTCCCTATGGCAGACCCTGATTCCCTATGGCAGACCCTGCTTATCGATGTTCGACCTTGATATGGCTTGTAAGACTTATATGGATAGTTACCCACTGCGGAATTACTCTGTAATCGATATAATCTTCAATTACTTTGTAATTGATTTGCGTCATCCAGTGATATCTGTAGAGATTTATATCAAACTCGCAAATAATTCAACGATGTGAAAAAATGAAACTGTCACAAACATCGATATTCTTACTGATAGTTTATCCTTCTTCAAAACGTGTTGCGATTGGCGTAACCTCAACCATGATGAGTCTTATACCAAAAAATTAATTCACCGAATATGTGTATTTTTTCTCATCATAAAATTGAAAATGCATTATATTTTAATTCGATTTAATATGCAGAAAGCGTGTGTATTACACAATGCATAAGTGTGTTGAATTATCCAAGTATTAGAAACGAGTGCTTAGTCATCATTCACCAGACTACGGATCAGTAGTGAAAAAGAATAAAAAGTTTTCTATTCACTTCTAAACATGTCAGATAGAGAAGGAGGAGTTCCAATCAGAGAAATATAGAGAAAGATGGCAGTAGACATCAAATCCCTATTTTAATAGGTGTGCCTTATGGCTTGAGCAAAGGAGCTGATTTTTTTTTATCAATGATAGAGGTATGTTTAAGCTTTATATCCATATGGGCACGGTTGAAAAGAACCTGTGTTAAGTACCACTATTGAACTCAACAAAAAAATTGTCATTTTTCACAAATAGAAAAAAACAGTTAATGATAAAGAAAGGAACTTTATTCTGCTAGAGTGTAATGAATCAATCGAATTTACTTTAAATAAATGCCCATTTTTCTTGATTAACTGTCCTTTCTTTATANGTACTTAACACAGGTTCTTTTCAACCGTGCCGATATGGATATAAAGCTTAAACATACCTCTATCATTGATAAAAAAAAATCAGCTCCTTTGCTCAAGCCATAAGGGAGATATTCAATTCTTTTTTCGGTATCGTGACTTTTGCGCCACCCTTATAAGATAAAGCGCTGAATTTTTGCTTTTATATAAGACGATCTAAATCTATATTTGTCTCAGGGAGAATTAATAGTTAGGTAAAATTAAACAGAGTTTTAAAAAGACTCGAAAATTGACAACTAGTGAAAAAGAAAATTAGGAATTTACATTATGCATGAAGTTACTATCAATTTTAATTGAAATTTAACTGAATTTAGAAATTTGCCGCGTTCACCACTATTTTCAATAGAAATTTAACTCAGATTTTTGAAGATGTACTCAAGTAAATCGACATAACTGTCAGCATCCTCACTAAATATAATGTTATTCTTTCCAACTGGTATGTTCAGCTAAATGAATTCTTTTTTTTCTAATATTTTTTTCCTAGGTTTATTGGCTTTTGCATTTGCTCATAAAGCCCAAATGAAATTCCGTAGTGGTTTCATAACTGATTCAAATAAACTTAATAGCCGTGCATTAATTATTTGTATTATATCAATATTGTGTGGTATTACATTGATCATTGGTCTTCTGTTTGGTTTCGATGCTTGGCCAAGAACCAATGGATAAAATACAATCTAGATCTTTTTCTTTTCTTGCGAACAGTATTTCATAATGAAATAAATTGATCTGTGTTTTTTTTTGTATTTTCTCAGCTGCATTAATCAGTTCAGATTATTATTTTGTATTAAACATGATCTTAGATTCGATTACAAAATAATCAACTTTTCTTTTTGTGTCTATCGCTTATAGTTTCAATTGCCTGTTCAACTGTTGCTGCTTGTATAAGCGCTATGAATGTAGCAGCTGATTATATATATATATATATATATACAATTCAAAACGCTTATCAAAAAACACTCTAGTTCATTTATCAGCACGCTTCTTTCTAACAAATTTTTCATTTGAAGCTATTTTTGTCAATAGTTTGTCTTGGGTTAAAAGAAAGACATGAAAATTGAAGACTAAACATTGATTGAAGCTATTGTAACAAATCTTAGACGAGATGAGATTTCAAAAAATAAATTGTCATATTAAATTTTCTCTTCTCTCTCTCCCTTCTCTACTTATTTGTAAAAATAAAATCAATTATCCAATGATTATAAAATAATTAAGATGGTCCCCATATGAACTCTATCGAAAGTTACATGGAAATTTGTAATGGAAAGGAAAGGAGGGGGGACACTTTGTACACAAAACGGCCCTAATTGAAAATATGTTCAAACTCGTTTCTAGGCAACATTTCACATTGCACTATCTGAGAATAAACGGCTCTACGAACTTCCACAGACCATTTTCAAGTGGTTTTAGTATCCGTCTGCAAACATTAGATTTCTACTATGGGAAATATACTGCCACGAATGTTGTAACATCCAAGACCACATTATACAGACCCCCTATTTATCCATAGATAGAACTTTCAAGTCCTACAAAATAATAATAGAACATAGAGGAAAATATGCTGTGCTCGAAAATTCCTAAGGACTACACTATCGAAAGTCTATGGGAAGACTATTGTTTGACAAAGTGCGGTTCATATGATCTCGAGTACTCAAGTAGATACCACCATGATTTGATCGCCTGAAAGATAGTCGATTTAGTGCTTTAAAATATGCGGGTGTGGGTGTGGGTGCAAGTATCGGTCTTCTTATTACACCCACACGCGCATCCACACCCACACCCACAAGCAGGTGTCTTAGTGTTATTTGTCTTCATGAGTTTAACAAATCAAACCGAGCCTGAAACTTGGTTCTATGACGAAACGAACGAAGACTATGACTATGGCTATCACAAGACATTCTTATCAATGTTGAACTCTGTCGATGCACCTCGTTCTCGTTGGCTATTGAAATCGTCTGATCATGCGTTATTTCTCGATACTTTTTTTCATCACTATCCGAATGCGAAAATGATTATGCCTCATCGTCATCTTGACGATGTTTTACCGTCGGTTTGTCATACGGTATGGGCGTTCAATAATATGTTCTTTGATGAAAAAAAATCGACAGCTCGAAATACATTGAACATTCGAACACTTCGATACATGGATACATCAATCGGAAGCATTGTGAAATTTCGTACTTGTCATCATCGATCGCATAGAAATATTTTTGATGTTATCTATGATGATTTAATCGAATAACCGATCGCTACTGTGCGTCGTATCTATGATCATTTCAATATATATTGATCAGATGGATTCGAAACAGCCATGAATGCTTGGCTTCGTGATAATCCTCAAGATAAACAAAGGCGACATACATACAGTTTAGCCGAATATGATCTCAATCGTGACGATATCGAAGCACGGTATGCTAAGTACATTAATATGTTTCTTCCTGCTCGAAAGAACTTTTCATGATTCGAATGCATCTAATACACTTGTTGTTGTGGAATATGATGTGTATCAGGGCTCCGCGTTGGATGGGACACTCCCATTCCATGAGATGTCATCGGACTAGCTTATTACAAAAATAAATGGTTTTCAATTAATAGGTACCTATAAATGTATTATCATTTTTCAATTTGACCTTGTTTCATACTTATAACTAGTAGTTATGTATATGCATAGCATCGCCAATGCGATGTGTGGTATTGGGAAAATAGTTTCGTTTGTAGCTTAAAAAAAGAAGCACATGTTGTATTCTTTATTATTAAGTATTGGCTATGGTTGAAAAGAATTTAATTGATACTTGTTTCTTTTATGGTGTTGATAAACCCATTTGTTGAATTAGTGCCAATGATACAGAAAATTCACTAGTACGAGAAGATTCAACTGGAATGATCTCAATAATATTTTGTTTTCTGTACACAGTTGAATATGAAATGTAGAGATGCATAATCTGTCATAAAAATGGAAAATTCTCTCAAATGTAAGTGAACTGGAAAATGTTTCACAGACTGAATTGTCTCGCAAAGCAGCATTTCTACAAAATTGTTTACAAAAACGTTTCTTCTAATGACGTTGGCATACGCACGTAGATTTTACACCACTGTTGAAATGGATGCATTATAAATACATGAATCTCATCGACTCATTTATAGTCACATTCCTCACTTCAATTCAAACATTAAAATCAGCTGAACGTATTCGCTTAATGCTATCATAGGAGTCAAAATTACTAGTGTAAGATTTTTTTTCTTTGAATATATGTTGAACTATTTTTAGTCATAGCTGTAAACTACGATTGAGTGCGAATAAATAAAAAGAAAAAATTAACACGAAGAACATTTTATTTTACTTTTTTTTAATATCAATCTTTCTGAGGCGCCTGTTTTTAAAAAAAGAATCGACGATGTTGTCAGTAATGCAACACAAGACAAGTAACAGGGCTAAAATAGAACAAACAATAATTGTTTTAGCACCTGTTACTTGATTTAAAATGAATGCACCGATAAAACACACAATCAGGCCTACAATAATATTATCGATCCATTGATACATACGAGTTTTTCCTATAAGACAAAAAAAAGACAAATTATAATCCAAAAAGCTCTATGATGTTATTAAAAACGACCAGATTTCCGGATTTTATGAGTATCTTGAGACGACAGGGACTTAGACAGGCTGATTGACAATGCACAATGAATAATATTGGTCTTTGACCATAAAATTAATTCGAAAAATTAATAAAAGATTTTTTATTTTTTATCAGCAACATAAATATTTATGACAATATGATAAAATAAATAACACGACAACGAACAAAAAAAAGACACAATATGTCCATATTATTTTAGTCCGACTTATTGTGTGTCTGTTGTGTAAAGCCAAGCCATTCGAATAGGAACTTCCCTATCAGATAGAAGAAAATAGAAAATATACGATCTTCTATGTGAATTAACTTTTGAGAATGTACGGCAGGGGTGCAGAATCTGTCGAAAAAATAAAAACATTTCCCCACACGGCAATTTTCTTTTCGAAAAATTTCCCCCACTATAAAATTGAATAATAAAACAAGGAATTCTCATTTAAGATGTACGTATATGTTTAAAAGAAATTGTCAATAGTCTATAACTCGTTCTTTCATAATACTTGCTATTGATGTTCTAAATTTCTCAAAAAAAACTACCGGCTGTCTAAATATAACAGAAGTAACTTATATACTACATGCAAAGATTACAGAAAAAAATTGAATTTATCTATATGCACCAACAGATGCTCCAAATAACTCTTTTAGATTTAGCGTATCAACAAATGTAAGACCACATAAACCATTTCGAATAGAAAACAAAGTAACTCTATAACAATCAATCCAGCTTTCTCATTCTGTTTTAGAAAATCTTCAAATGCTTGTTGTCTTTCTTTTTGTTCTCGCGCACATTATATATATGTAATTTGTTTGAAAACTACAATTCTAAATTAGCTTTTAAACTTTGAAATCGTTGTGATAGAAGTTCATTTGCTTTTCGTTTAATATGTTGAAAAATCTCAAATGAAGATTTCATTACAGCTTATAAATGTTTTGGTGCATGTTTTCTTCCGATAGAACAAGGCATACACATGATTGTCTCTAAATTCTTATTGATTTCTAAATCTCTTAGCACAAAGAAATCATCTGAGCATTTAACAGAATCAAATCATTGTCACATCACCTGCTTGTGCATATGATGATGATGTTGACGACTCTCTATTGTTTTTTTTTCTAAGTTAATAGTGAAGGTGAAGTGACAGTGCTAATCTATGAGTTTTGTTAAGTCAGAAGACTAGAGAATGAAATTTTCTTGCTGTTATTTTTCAAATTTATCATCATTGGTAATTGTTCTGCTCCTTTCAGTTATTTCTTTGCCAAAATAATATCTAGTCAAGTTATTTCCAGAATCTTTAATTTAAATGTTTCTTCATGATGTTTTTTTTTCTTCTAATGTACTTTTGCGTTATCTAGTCGTCCGACTCATCCACAATAAAAACATGGTATCTGCTATTTTTCTAGAATACATTTCTATTACTTAGACATACTAAATATTCTAAAAACGAAGAGGAAGCAAAACAAAAATTAGGTGAAAAGAAAAGATTTTCGAGTGACAAGGATCATGTTACTCTTCATCTGTCCTGCCATTGTATATGTATAGGAGTACACAATCACAACGATATGTAGCTACAGAGAAAAGACAGCAACTAGTGGCATTGTATTAGGGAAAAAACAAAACGAAAAGAGGAGAAAGCAAATAGCTCTTTTTGCATCATAGTTACGCCTAAGGAGAAAGATAAATACTATTACGACGCATGATCAGCGTAAAAGAAAGGTGCAATATATGACATAGCTACCTAGCTGCCAATAAGTGGTGATTCCATTGTTATTTGTTTGTTCAGGCATATTCATTGATGATGATTGGCTTAATGGTTCGATTGGTACTACTTCATTATTTGATTGTTCAATTGATACTTCGTTGTTTGCCTGTTCGACTGATGACGATGATGTTTCGTTCTACAAAAACAAATCTCAAGAGCGATTGATATGGTGAATTTTATTGCTGCTTACCGGGCAGTGTTCCAATAAGTTAGCTAATTGAATCTAAATAAAAGAATAATGTCATTGAATGGTCTATATAACAGTACTCACCCTGATGTCAAGAAACTCCCTGAGAACGACGAGATCCCTTGGATCTGCTTGCAGCTTTTGATATGCCTAAAAATTTCAATGAAATCAATTGTGGTGATGATAGTAATAATACATTTCAGATAGCAAATGTCAATCCTACCTGTGATAATTGTAAATTTAATTGATCTTTTTTCAAATTAGTCGACATTTTTGTGTATTTGTTCAACAAGAGTGACGATTAAATTAAATAACCAAAATATAAACTAACACTGTAGATCAACAAAAAAACAGTGAACAATAAAGAGCAAAATCGATCAAGTTGATAAATGGGAAACTAATAGCCGAAAAGAATAGTACAGTATGAACAAATAAACAGTAAAGTTGAGAAGTAGAAACAATCAACAAAAAAGAACAGTAACTTTGATTAATGAGAAGACAGTTATCGATACAAATGGATACTTGTACAACAACATTTCGAATGAACTATGAAACAATAAGATTGTAACAGATTAAACTGACTGAACTTGTTGATATAATCTAAAAAATAAACAAATTTTCATTTTTTTTGTTTGATTCAAGACCTAAAACCAGTGCATAATATTTAATAAACAGCCAAGATAGATACGATTACTACCTAAACTGATGCAATAAGGAAAATATCAAAAAAATGTACTTAGGTACAAATAAATACAGGCTAATAATTTTATTCACCAGCAACAGCAGTCGAAACTGTTGTTTGTCCACGTCTTCATTCTACAAACTCGAATGATTGTGGTAGAACCGTATTGGATAAACTTTTATACTGCATTTAACTATATAGCCATTGTAAAGCTATCCTGCGCAACTTTTTCGAGGGCATACCACAATTGCATCAATCATATCGGAATGAAATAAAGTTTTCAAAACTTATATGATGTGCGTCTATCAAAATAGCTATGCATGCAGAAGTACTTGAAAGGCCAACAAAAGTGCCCGCGGGCGAGAGTGAATTTGATTTTGGAAAGTACTTTTGATGCTTTGCTTCATCTTGTGGTATTTAATATAGGAAACAGCTTGTAGTTGAAAATATTCTCGTACGCATTGTTGATACGATCAAAGTGTATGTTTGCGCTTTCTTTTCATTAGAAAAGAATATCAAAATGATCGAAAAACAAATATAATACAATCTAAAAAAATAGAATAGAATATTCGTATTTCTTATTACATAAGAAATATAAGTCGATGCTAAACAAGCAAATAAGCGTTAAATACTCGTAGTTTCATCATACGATGTGTTTACGAGAAACGAGAGAAGAGAAATGCGAGTTTAAGCAACGAACATAAAAATATTAACACTAACTACTTTTTTTAAATCCAATATCATCACAAAAAGATCCATATAAGCATTGATACGATAAGCAAAGAGTTATATTAAAACTCGAACTGGTTGTGCATAATTCATGTTGAAATCGGAAAAGATTATGTACGTAAATAGAGATCAAGAAAGTAGTGGAGTTATATCATTTTCTGATAAAACTGACTGAAAAAGGTCACAATCTACTATCATCACGTCGTAATGTTTAATTTAAAACTATATGCCGCTTGTCGATGCTGATATGAAAATCTACGTTTTAGTGGAAATAAAAAATATCAGCGCATGTGGGTGGCGCTTTATTCCATTTTCTTGTGGACATTGCTATTTCGACCAAATTGAGAGAGCTTAAATTTCTTCATTAAAATCTACAAAGTACAATCGGTTATCTGCAAAATGTGTAAAATACAGTGCACATACAAAATGGATGTTTTGTCTGCTTTGTTTCCACCCGATATATACGTGCTATTGCATTTGTAAACACTATATACAGAAAGAACAGGAAAAATCTCATAGGCTGTATGTTACATACCACTCTTATATAAACATATTGCACTAATTATAGATGTCGCAAAGAAACGGTGCTGCACTATGTATGAGAATAATGAAGTGCACGAAATTGATGACATGGTGTATATGTACAGGGTGGCGCAAAAGTCACGATACCGAAAATAATTGAATATCTCTGTAGACCTTTTGGATTTTTATATGGGAGTAAGCCGGTCGTCATAGAATACCGATCAGAGATGTCAACAGGTCACTTTTTTTTTCGGCCTGGCTTGCAGGCATATATGAAACCAAAAGAAAATTATGCTTATTTTTATAATATATCCATTATAGGTTTAATATTCAGTCGTGATGTTGACGATTGCTGTGGTTGTCTATTTCGTTATTTGCCTGACCTGGTAGGCGAGTAGGCCAGGCTGGCATTTCTAATATGATATATAGATGGCGATCGAAAGAATTCATACAGTTGATATGAAGAAAAGATCCGTTTCCGGCATTGTTCAATATGACAATGTCATTATTCTTCTAGACGACAATGGAAGATGAATTATCAACGTGTGTTTATATAGAACGAACAGTGAACGTAATTACACAATATTCATTTCGATATGAATACTTTAATAAATAATCACGAGAACACAAATATACTTGATCTACCAAATGAAATGTTACTTGCCATTATGAGCAAACTAAGTAAAATCGATGTATTATATTCACTAGTGGGTGTAAATCGACAATTTGACCAATTAATAATCGATCCGTTTTATATTCATGATCTTGATTTTACGAGAAAATTATTATTTGATGATATTTCTCCCATTGATAAACAAACTCTGGATAGAATTTGTGGAAAAATTCTACCTCGAATTAATGATAAAGTGAACAAACTTACTGTTGAACCGCTTTCTATCGAACGTATTTTTCATGCTGTTGATTATGTGCAACTTAACTCGTTATCATTTGTGAATTTTTCACAAGAAATATTATTGCGACATATACTAGGTAAAGGGTTTTGAAATTAACAAAATATTTATCTTGTAAAACATTTAACAACGACTTTTTATTTGTATATTTAAGATAATGCAGTTATTCATCGTCTTATGACTGAACAAATTACATGCCTGCATATTCAGGTTAGCGATGAAGTAACATCAAATTTTCCTGTCGAAAATCACTCAAACATATTTTCATTGATATTATTTATGTGTAAAAATCTGAATGATTTGACCTTTAGTCATTGGTTCATTGGTCTAGGTTTAACATTTTTTATCTATAAACTATCGTCAACAAGTTGTGTATCTTCGACTTTAACGAAATTGCGAATACATGTAAATACTTTTGATGATTGTCTTTTTCTTCTCGACGGACGTTTGGAATCTTTGTCTACGTTGATTATCAATATAGTTGAAATTTTCAATACATCAGCGACTATAGATAATACAGTAAGTTAAATTCCTTTCTACATCTGAACAAATAAAAACTTTGTTTTGTTAACAGAAGAAACTTCCTAAATTGAAATGTTTTGCATTAACATCATATCACCACACAAGTTTTTATGACAGTCAAATTGTTCCATTGCTTCGTCGAATGTCAAATCTTGAAGAACTGACATTATTTCTGTCAGTTATAAGAATGGAATCGACTTATATCGATGGCATTCATTTGCATGATGAGATTCTTATTCATATGCCACGACTAGACAAACTTATGTTTAGTATAACGACTATGCTTTACAATATCAATGCAAAAATTGATCTTCAATCAAATGATGACATACAACGTGGTTTTATCGAAAAAGAAATCTACCAAGTTGACTCTTATGTCATTAACGATCCATCTAAATTACAACAAGAATGTCATATCTATTCAAAGCCATATCCATTCGATGTTTTTTTTAATTTGAACAGCCGCTTTCCAGGTGCAAAGTTCAATAAAGTTCGATGGTTAATAATGAGAGATGGAGACCCATTTGAAAACGAATTATTCAAAATTATCTCTCAAGATTTTCCTTTTCTAAAAAAATTAGCTATATTTAATACTGCAGCGCAGCAAAATAAACGATGTTCACTCCCGTTCATTACGTTTCTACATCTTCGCGAACTGTACGTCCATTTGGCGCATATTGATTATGCTGAACAATTCCTTTATGAAAGAAATGCTCATCTACCTTGTCTATCAAGTCTTGAAATTCGTTATGAAACATTATCTATTTTAACAAACAATTTTACCAATGATGCAGCACGTGCCAATTGTGCTAAATTACAACGTCTTGTAATAAAAGAGCCATTTGTTCATCCACAATATTTTCATTCATATTTTCCTTTATTACAATGTTAAGTTTGTTTTTCTGAAAATTGATTACTATAAATATATTGAAGAAAAATTCGTATTTATTTTTATTGCCGCCATGATCAAGTATTAAATAGAGAAATTGGAGATCTTCTCAAAAGAATTTGTATGAAAGAAGTGAAACAAACATAATTATATAATAATTTACTATAGATAAAACAGAGTTCTACTATCAATAAAGAAATTCATAAATATTGGACAAGTACATCGAAAAGATGTGCTCAAATCAATAAACAATAATCTAGACGCCGACAATTATTTTTCATTTTACCTATTTAGATAAAAATAAAGATGAGTACAGAGTGAAAATGTTCATGGCGGCTGAGAATTTGTAGTAACGATACACAGAAAAAGGTGCCAAACAAGCTGTAAAAGAAACGCTATTGCGACGCATGATTGAAAACATACCGCCCGCATGATAGTATTTAAAAAAATGATTTGATTTTGAAGGTTATGACTGCTTTGAACTTGAACTGCTGCTTCTTATCGAGGATGTGGGTTTGGGCGTATGTGTTTTATGTGGACATGTTCAAGACAGTTACATCTGCACCCACACCCTCAACAGAATGATGTACATGGCACACAGAGAACACAATACATTTTTATCTCAGTTCATATATAGTTTTAAGCAGAACGCTACGTGATACAGGTATATTTTGCAGCTTGATAATGGTCATATCAGACAAGCAACTGTCACTTGGTGATTTTTCAACTGATATTACTTGGAAAAATGTCCCAGGCATGATGAGAACCTCTTTCTCCTGTGGACAGAGAGAAATGTCTGTGACAGATATTGCTGTTTCACACGTTTCACTGAAATGAATAATAAACAATGCCATAATCGTATCCGGTTCCATATGCCCATAGTGTTTTGCGAACTGTTTTGCTATTTCACAAATTTCACTTGCACTGTTGATGTTGTATGTTTCAATGAAACTGTTCGGATGATGACATGCCCAAAGATATAAATCAAGGTCCGCCCGATTTAGACTGATTCCTCGAAAAGCAGTTCCACGGAAGCTTCTATGCTGGAGTTGCACTAAACCAATTAATAATTCCATAAAATACACCTCGTCTCGATTCTTATTAATATAGCGAAAGAAAGGACTTTCGGCTACGTACGCTGTAATCAAAAGCTCTGGCGATTCACAACATTTAGCATCTTGAAGGCGAGATAATAGTTCTGAATGCTTATGTGAGTCTTTATCAAGAACGCTAAGAATGAGGTTTCTTATATAATCTAATCGATTAGCTCCATTGGTTTTAAACTGATTGGTTAAATACGTTGTGAGACGCAATTTCATAATTTTTGTGGCTAGAACGGACTTGTCTTCATTATTGATATTTTCATAAATTTGCACCCAGTTTGATATAGGTATTGCATCATTTATTTGTTCCTCGTTATCAATGATCGCTACTGATGATTGTATTAACTGACAAATTCGTTCATCATTGCATTCTTCTGCCGCAGTTTTTTCATCTTTATTAGTTGTTATAGTCGAACATCCATTTTTAAGCAGCAATTCAACAATTTCAAAATGTCCATTCGAAGCAGCCGCATGTAATGCTGTGCTACCGTTGGGTTCTATACGATTTATCTCTTTCAATTTCATTGTCGTTAACATTTGCTTCACTATATCAATATCACCTGATTGGCAGGCAAGATAAAATCTACTAATTGAAGTATGTTTTGTTGTTTGACTGTTTGAGTTTCCCATGATGAATTACGCATTAAACATAATATCAATACTTTTGAATTTTTTAAAAGAATTTTCAGTCACTAAAAATTTGTTTACACAAGAATTGTGTATGAAAGAAATGAAATTTTTTCTCGCTTCAGCTTTAATAGAGACCTTCACTTACTTATTTGCAAAATATCTTGAAAAAAAATTCAATGACACCATGTGCTTCAATGCATAAATGGATGATTCATAAGCACTACTACAGAAATAAATACAATTTTTTTCATGGGTAAAAAACTACATAACAATACATAATATTGGCTATGGGACAAGCACAAGCACAGAGTACGAATGATTTTGCCACGAGTACAGATGTCTCATCGAACGAACCTAGTGAATTGTATTTAGCTTGTCGCAATGGTGATATTGAAAAAGTAGCGCAAATCTTAACTCACTTGAATACATCTAACATCAATCGTCTTGAGCCAAATGGAAGTACTTCGTTACATGCTGCCTCATTCTTTGGTCATAAAACTATCGTTCAAATGCTTCTTCAAAATGGTGCTCAATCATGGATAGTTAACAAATATAAAATGACGCCATACGAAGAAGCAGCGAATGATGAAATTCGTTCATTATTTCATCGTCCACTGGAAACAAATAGTAATCGATTTACCGATGATGATACTAATAATGGCTGCTTAGAATTAATTTCAGAAAAGAAAATCGAAGAAAATACAAATAATAATATACCAAACAGTTGGATTGAGGGGTACAAAAACATTGGTAAAGACTTTGAAACTAAAGGTATAAAATTTATTGTTCGTGCGCAAATGACTAAATACTATCTAACAAGTTTACAACGATCAAATGATTGTGCCCGTGAATTACGACGAATATTAAAACTTAGTGTTCCATCTAATCATCCTGATTATAAAATTGCATGTCGTCTCTTTGATGAATATTGTTCTCGAAATCAAATAGAACATCTTATTCGCTTATATACACTTGAAACAGGGTTTTATCATGCTCTGCATTCAAATGTTGAAATATTTACCGTTGAAATCTATTCACAATTACAAAATCTTAAAGATCGATTTTTTCAAGGTAAAACTTATCGTGGCCTATCAATGACAACGAAAGATATTGATGACTATAAATGGGGTGTGCATAATCAAGGAACATTAATTGAAATAAAAACGTTAACTTCAACATCTATTGATTCCAAAGTTGCTTATGAATTTGCGCGTGGTAAAAAAACGAACAATACTAATTGTCATCGAGTAATCTGTGAGCTTCATTTCGATCGTTCATGCAGTACAGCTATTGATCTTCGACGTCATGCTGATAAAAATTTACTGTGCCTATCTGCTTATGAAGACGAAGCCGAAGTACTTGTTCTACCAGGTACCCTATTCAAAGTACAAGATGTTAGTCAAGAAAAAGATACAGGTCGATATACAATTGTTTTACAAAATATGCATGTACCATTAAATATCATATTAGAAGCATTCAAAGAATTACAAACATGATATGAACATTTAAAAACTGGAAAATATTTTTTATTTTATTGAAAAGCAGGAAGCTTTCTTTTGCGATAAAAATAAAAATAAAAAGAATATTTGTTTATTTTGAAAGTAGTCTGATCTGAGATTGTTTTTCAGTGAAGATGCGCAATAGTTACTATTCCCATAAAGATACACAATTGAGAATTTCAAGTAATTTTACTAGAAAACGAGCTATTTGTCTCCGTAGTAACTAGTCATCGACAATTTTTGAATAGATATAATTTTATACAGTTTTAATTACAGTTTTACAGATGAATTTTTGCATAAAGTACTCTAAAAAATGGTTTCTGATAAGTTAAAAAGAGGACTCAATTTTAACAGTAAGCTCCGATCTTTTTTTTCTCCGATTCAAATCAATTTTTTTTAATATTTTCCATAAAGTTTGATGGTTCTCTTCCATCGAAAGCAATCTTCATCATCAATGAGCTTATTTGAACTAAAATAATAACTTGATTGGATTTTAGCTTGAAAAAAAACAAACATCGCTTATTTTGTCCAAACTGTGCATTTTCTCTGACGTTTTATTTGTATCAATCTCTTCTCAGTAATTCAAATACAATTTAAAAATCAACAGCACTTTTTTTATTCCTTGGTTAGCACTATTCACGTTAAAAAATATATGCCATTTAACAAAATCAATAGAATTAAATTTAAAATCAGTCAAATGCATGTGTGAGGAATGAACGACGAAAAACTACTTGATAGACTGTTGAATCAAGAAAATAACGTGCCTGTCTTGTATTAATATGAACTGCGATGAAGATATTCGATGAATTTCTTCTTGTAGCATTTCTTACACAAAGTGTTTTACCGGATCGATATTATGAGCAAAGACACCTACACCCACAACCATATTCAAGCAAACGACAAGTATCGTAACATAATAAAACTAACCGTCACATCGAAATAATCCCTATGGAAATTCTTTTGTTTTTTTATACGATTCAATTTATTTTTATTAAAGGTGAGTTAAGAAGAAGAAAAAAAGAATATAATATTATTCATCTATATTGACATAAACCGGGCATTTGTAAGGGCCAAACATATATTTATATGCATTCTTTTGTAGCCATGGATGAGCAATGCAATCAGGAAGTGGCATACGTTTTTTCGGATCTTTTTGTAAAAGCTAAAAAGCAAAACAAAGAATATCGAATAAACACTTCAATTCATTTCTATGATTTTTCTTACATTATCAATAAATCGTCGAGCAGGTTGAGAAAAATAATCCGGAAATTTATAATTGATAGTCGCAATTTTTGATTTCGTTTCATCGTCAGTACCTTCAAATGGTGCACGACCAGCTAACAGTTCAAATGCAAGAACACCAACACACCAATTATCAACTTGATATTGATACTGTTTATGACCGACAATTTCCGGTGCTAGATAATCAAGGGTACCACAAGCGGTTGTATTCCTATAAAATATCGAGAGAAAACAAAAACATTTGTTTTCTTCATTCTGTCGAAAATCTCAATTACATTGTATCAGCATGTCGAATTTTTGTTGACCAACCAAAATCAGCTAGCTTTAAATTACCACAGCAATCAACAAGAACTAAAATAAAAACGAATTTATTTTTCATGTTTTTACTTTAGTTTTCTATTTACTATTTTCAGGTTTCAGATCACGATGAATAATACTTTTACTATGACAATATTCAAGTGCATGACAGATTTGATAGATGTACTAAAAGAAAATTTGAACAATGATTAAAATTGTTCAACAAATGAATACATACACTGGCAGCTAGACGATCACTAAAACGACGAACTTTTTGTAAAAATCGATAGAGTTGTCCGTGTGGTGCATATTCGAGCATAAAATAAAAACGTTTTTCATCATGAAATACATCGTACATTGTTAAAATAAGTGGGTGATTGAGTTTAAAACCAGATTCAGTTTCAATCTTTACTTGTTCAGCCATTGAATATTCATTGATTTTACTTTTATGAAGCATCTAAATCAAATGGCCAATAAAATAAAAGAACAAGAGAAAAATAAATATCTACTTTTAAGGCACAAATAAATTTCGTTTTTTTTAGTCGTGCTAAATATACAATACCAAATGCACCTTTACCAAGTGGCCGACCAAATTCAAAATCATCAATTGTAAATAGACGATCTTCACTAAATAGAAGAAAGATCCAATTTCGACTTTACTAGTCCATAGTGAGAGCATTTGATTAGTCGGAATGTACCCGAGTCTATGGAATCTTTACACTGTAAAAATCATATAAATCTTATAGCTTTCACTGTTACAAACAACTTTATCAAATCGGCCGACTCTTCGGATCTTGAGTTTCTCCTGTGGTGTGTGTTTGAGAGCTTACTTTAAAGCCATTTTTCGTACACTGTTACCCATGGTAGCTTCCAGATGAGAATGACGAATGTATTGTTGAAATGTATTCGGTGTCATTGGTGGAGCTCGTAATTGTTCATCAGTAAGACCATTAAGCCAATTCGGTAGATAAGTATACATCGAGTCGCCATCACATTGAGCTACATCAAATGGAACTTTAACAGCTTCAATATCGGCATAAGCCTAAATTCTATTGATTAAAATAAAATAAATACTATCGAATTAACTTACGTCATGCCGATCTTCATTCATTTTATCAGACATAGATGGTTGTGGTTTTCGTTTGGTTAAAAAATAGATTAGCGAAGTTACAACAAAGGTATCTGTTGCCGGTACTAGAAAGTAACAAAGGTTCATGTACGCATCATGATTGATTTAGATATCATTTTGATCTGATTAAAAATAAATATTTTAAAAATATATTGAATAAATTTTACTCAAGCTATTTGTTTTCTCGTTTTAGTAAAACAGATGTCACTCGTTAATGTATCGATTGATTTTATTACTATTTGATCTTTTAATATAGATGAAGAAATAAATCAATGGATTCCATTGACATCTGTCGGGTAATATTTATTATTGCTGAAATAAATCAAATGATTATGAATTTCTACTAAATCGATATTACTCATATTTCTAACTTAAGACTGATCCCTTAAATAAAAAAATTATTATGCGCCGCTGAGTGGTTGACTTTGTTAACCATTCATAAAAGCAACGCAAAAATGCTTACCACAACATGATACAGCAAAAAAATTGTTCGAGTACCATTTCCATAAAAGAATGTCAACGAATGATGCAGATAATGAGCGTATGCAGTTACGGTGGCCTATAGATGACGTGGTAGCCTTTGCAAAACGTCATGCTATCACGCATGGTCTTCTTTGTCTTGATCCTAATAATTTAGATCTAGCAACTATTGTTCCATTTTCTTTATTTCCAAGTCCGTATTCGTATTCACATTTGAAATTCATTTGGTCGATTCAAACAGCTTATAATCGTCTTTATAATCGCATATCTCTTGATGATGAAACTCTCGAAAAAGCACTCAAACCAGTTATTCCAATTGATGATTTTATTGAACGACTTTGGAAAATTCATCGTACATCCACAAGACGACAACCGATTCAATTAGATATTTATCGAAGTAAGCCGTAAGAAAGATTATCATAAAAAATCACCTATTGTTCGCTATTTGATACCAGTTAAAGATTTTATTTAATCTTTGATATCTTGTAGTCCTATTCAAAAGATTCGCTTAGACATAATTAAGAACAATTATTTCTCGAGTCTCTTAGCCTTTAAAGTTTTTATTAGATCTCTCGAGTTCATTTTTAAAGAATAAATCTTTACTCACCTATACATAGATGATTACATGCTCGATACAAAAATTAATACAATGCGTCAAGTTGAATTCAATACAATCAGTTCTGCATTTGCTGGTTTAACTGCTATTGTAGCTGATTTACACAAAGCAATATTACGTTATGCTATTGATAATTGTTACGTTCGTGAATTAACCATGGACAATCAACAAGAAAAATCATCATCAATTGATCTAATACTTCCCAATGATGCATTGAAAAAATCTGCTGAAGCAATGATTAAAGCATTTGAACTTTATAACAACGTGAATGCTGCAATACTATTTATAATTGTACCGAATGAACGTAATATATGTGATCAAAATGCATTAATCGATGCAGTACAAAAACTTAAGTCAACTATTCGTATTCATTTAAAAACATTTGAACAATTAACAGATGAACTTCTATTGGATGAAAACAATTTTAATATTTATTTAAAATCTTCTCATGATGAAATAGCGATTGTTTATTATCGTGCTGGTTATATTCCCGAACATTATATCAATGAAAAATGTTGGTACGTACGTGAACAAATTGAACAATCACGCGCTATTAAATGTCCAACAGTTCGATCACAATTAGCAGGTTGTAAAATTGTTCAAGAATATTTAACACATGAAAATATCATTGAAAAATATATTAATGATGAAAATTTATCGAAAAATATACGTTCAACATTTGCACGAATGTTTACATTTGATGACCTTGAAGCGCGACAGAAAAATATTAATTTATTACGTGAAAATCCACATGATTTTGTTTTGAAACCAAATCGTGAAGGTGGTGGAAATAATAAATATGATGATGAAATATTAAATTTAATTGAAAAACAAGAAAATCATCTAAACTATTATATAGCTATGGAGAAAATTCTACCTCCAAAATGTACAACTTGTCTTATTAAACCAAATGGTAAACATTTATTACATGTTGAATGTATTAATGAAATTGGAATCTATGGAACAATGGTAACAAATGTTGATACAAACGAGGAATATATAAATGAAGTAGCCGGGTATTTAGTTCGCACGAAAACAACTGATACTAATGAAGGTGGTGTTGCAACAGGCTATTCTGTTCTTGATTGTCTTGACGTTAGTGAAAACAATAATGAATTGTCAAGAATATTTTCTGAAAAGCGTTGAATTTCTTTTTAATTAAATTTTATTTCTATATTAAGAATAATATATTTAACAGAAATATATGATCATGCAAATAGACGTGGATTGAATCTTTTGTCATAATTCGGATACAAATGATTCGTGATTTAGCAAGTTGCTATGAAAATATTTATGGCATTAGTAAAATTTTTATAACTTACATTTTAATATTGACTATGGATTTATTAACTTTTCGATAAATTAACATGCGAAGCTGGCTCGATTTTTGAATTTGTTCAATCCAATTGTTTTTGTCGACCATTATACTAGGAAAGAAATTCACATGTGATTTATCCTTCTGAAATATCAATCGATACCGTGAATATCAAGATCAAAGCTTACGAAGATACTAGTAGGATATCTAAACATTGGCTATATCTAGTGCCTATGCGAGGGTCGAAAAAATACGGTGGAGATGAAGTGTCGCCTAAAAACCCCTAACGGGCCCTGACTGGTTCGAAAATAACAAGCGTTCTTCAGTGTTGATTATTTTAAGAACTGCTCTTCACGCGAATTAAAACACTTTTTTTTTATAACGGTTGACTAAACATAAGGGAAGTCTTCGAAGTGAGCTTTTTGAATATTTTGATGCGGAAACATATATTTATTTGTTGAAAGAAATGAACACATTTGAAAATTGAAAAGTGTTAGAAAGAAAATGCTTGTTTTTAAAATAAGTGAAATTTGAAGCTCAAGTTTTATTTTTTTTCACTCAAATTACATTCTTTCTACCATTGAAAAATCGATAGGATCATCTTGAGGGTGTGGGTGTGGGTTATGGCGTTTCAACGAATCCATACTCACACCCTCAAGATGTGAGATCAACGTATGATTTATTCCTACTGTTAACTCGACGAATTCAATTCCAAAAACTATATTAGAAGAATTTTACCAATGCTGGTCAACTAATTATGAACATGAAGAATCATCATTACAAAGCATTCAAATTCTACTCGTGTTCAATATTCAGAAAATGGTAGAAATAAACAAGAAGCCTCAGAATGAAGTATTAGCACAAATACTTAAATGTAGCACTCGATGTACCCTACAATTCATATAAACACTACAGAAAGTCAGACGAACAAATATTTACAGGCAGTTACGACTAACAACAGATGACACACATCGTATTCTGGTTCGAATCTAATTGATTGAGTGTTTAACACTTACATATCTGTTGAAAATCAAATTTGCCTTCCCAGCACATGTCCAATTCTTCAAGAATATAGTCAGATCATGACAGGTATAAGCGGTATGGGTAGACTTTATTTTAAAAATAAAACTGATTAAGCGAAAAATTTCAGAGCGTATCTAGCATATGATCATAGAAGTTCGCACAATATATCTATCTAAAAATTTTGAGACTTTACTACAAGGTCAATTATTATCATTCTACATCAATCACATGAGGTATACCAGTCAATATGATGATAAAAGTCTTTTCCGATTAATCTAAACCTAAAACAATTTCATGGAAGGGACTCAATCTATCATTAGATAGATGCTACGAGTGTTCATAATTGGAATTGTCACGCTCGACATTTAAGCAACACTGCACATATCATACTGGCTGTTGGAAATTGTATAGCCTTGAGCCAGTAATTGGTTAGGTGCAACGACGAAAGTTAATATGAGTCCTGCAGCCATATGCCATTCAATATGGCAGTGAAACGTCCAAGCACCTGGATTATCAGCTACGAATCGTATTTTAGCTCATCCATTACCTGGTACATTCACTGCATCGCGCTTTAGGTAAGCTTGGAGATATAAATTCTCGGCTGGTGGATAGTCCGATGTTGCTATAATCCAAAAGTTATCGCCATGCAAATGAAACGGATGCTCACCGTTATCGGCGTTGTTTAAAAAGATGTCGACAACAGCCTGATATGGAACTAGATAGTGGCCATATCCATCACTTTGAATCGTTGGCAATGGGCTACCTGCTTGAACACGAGGTGATGGTAAATCAAATGTGTTTGGACGACTTGTTGAAATAGGGGCTCTTTTTTTCTGGCTTAGCTCCTTGGAATACATTTGGTCTTACTTTTGTGTAGTTTCCAGTGAAAGTGTATGTAACATCATTCATATATCCACGATTAATACCTGTACTGTCCACAGCAAATTTGACAACAAGATTCAAGTAATGTGTAGGATTTGGAACTATATAATTGGTTAGATTGAATGGTCGAGCAGCTAACATATTATCATCTGAAGGAAGACTTGGCATTTGAGGCATTGGATTTGCATCTCGAGGCTGATAGGTCGGCGTAGCATTGGTCGAATCAAGTGACAATATAGCTAGATATAATGGGTTGAAGAATGTGGGATAAACATATCGTTGAGTGTCATATGGTGAATTATAGTTTAATATGTCGACAGGGTACATTTCGGTCATTGCCTGAAATCGAATAAAGATTGAATTGACCGATGACGAACCCAATTAACTATAAATTGGATCTAATTCGCTTAGATCAATATAAAAAGAAACACGTTGTGCTACATTGATAACAAATGAGCTGACGTTGTACGGGACAGTATTTGTTTGATCAAGTTCAATTATGTGTAATGGCAAACTGTCAATGAAAAACTTGTACATAGACAAAGATGCACCGTTAATCACTCTGAATCGAATCCTTGATGTGCCAGATACTGGTATAAATAAGGATTGAGTAAACTTTTCATTGGCAGCAATAGCGTCTGGCAAAGGCTCAACACCATCAGGATTATTTGTACTCAAACCCAGGAGAGTCATTCCGGGATCAGGACCTACAGTCGGATCCTTGGTGTAGGAATTCCATAGGATCCAGTGTTGGAAATTAACGGAATCCGACATGAACGTATCATCCTAGTGTTCTTGTGAGAAAATATGCATATTCACCCCTAATTAAGAAAATGTCTTTTTCCGTCGGAACCGACAGTCCATCCGTACCCGGAATCCCATAGGATTCATTCACCTGGGAAGCATTGAAATAAACAGTTCTTTCTTTTTGTTTCAGAGTTCGATGTTACGCTTTTACTGATCACAATGGTTTTTGGTTTCTCTCATGTAACATAAAGAAACAAGATAGTAATTTTTTTTCTTTTCTTTTAGAATGTGTGTTAACATCGATCAACAGCAATAATATATTATTCTTCTATTCTTGATTGGTTTGTTCAACGATGAATTGAAAGATAATTATCCTTTTTATGAATGTAAGTATATGCAAATATTAAATATATTCCAGATTTACTTCTTTTGTTTTTTTTTGTTCTAGATCTTCTCTTTTTTTTGAACGGTTGACAAATGGTTACCAATCAAACTGTATCAGTAATTTTTTAAATAAACACGATACTTTTCTTTTTCGTTTCAGGGGTGCAACTTACAATTTGCTTTTTTTGTGAATCTCTGAACTTTGGTCGACAGTAAAAATGTCGAAAACTGAGTAGGTATTCATGAAAAATGTCGTGTTCAGAATTGATTCATTATTAAAAGAGGTTGCCCCTTATTCGAAGTAATGAAATTTAAATCACTGCTGATGTTCCGTGTCGATTCCGTGGCGGCTTCCATACGTATATTTATCACTCGAATAATGAATAATTGAAGAAGAATTTTTTTATTCTTTTCTACTACATTGTACTAAGTGACCAATGTCTGATAGACCAATGATAGATTTAAACGAACATAAGTCGCCATCGATCCTACAAGCAATGGCGGATCCAGAAAATCTGTTAGG